CATTTTGACCATCCAAGAGAGGGGGAGCCAATGGCAGTGTGCAAACTCATTGGACCTGTTCTTAAAAAAACATCTTGAGGGAAGAGGACCACACACCTATATTTGGAGAAATTAGGAACTAGAAAGTTTGTCTTAAAAATAAGCTTCTTGCAGTAAAGGTTGATAGTGCCTTGGAAAGAAAGAAGAGTCTGGGATTTGGGTCCAGGCTCCACACTAACTTGATCTGGGGCAATGCAATGATTCCTCCAAGCCTCTGTTTCCATGGGGATTATATTATTGCTAGATGAACTCTTCTCTCTTCTCAGCTTCAAAAGTCTGTGGTCATATGTGTATTCAAAAGAGGGAAATAATCTGTAATTTTTTTCTACTCTGTAGTAACTTTGGTGATGGAGGCGGATAGTGAAGAAAAGAAGGGTAGAGGGGACAGTAACTAGAAGATGGATAAGGTGTGGGCTTGGCGTCTGTACCCAACCCAGGCCTGCTAAACAACAATGACAACTGCAACCAAAAAAATAGCCAGGTGTTGTGGTAGTCATCTGTGGTCTCAGCTATTTGGGAGGCTGAGGCAAGAGAATCACTTAAGCCCAAGAGTTTGAGGTTGATGTGAGCTGTGATGCCACAGCACTCCATTGAGGGCAACACAGTGAGACTCTGTCTCAAAAAAAAAGATGGATAAAGTGTGGTTTGGACCTCTGAGCTGATGGCACTGTTAGGACAGTAACAGTGCTGGGCTGATGCAACTGAGATAAATGTTTTGTAATAAATGTTTTGTGTTTTGTTTCTCCGACTCCAACCATGTCACGTCACGTAGTGCACCTCCAACTAGTCAGTTGTGAAGGCAGTGCTAATGTCCAGTGGTCACTTAATCCATCTACTATCAGTTTTGCTGCCAAGAAGCTGCGAGGCCTTTGGTTAATCAGTTAATCCTCTGGATATGAATTTTCTGTATCTGTGGAATAAGGGAGTTGGGTTAGATCTGGGATTCCTGGTGTTTTATGAGGAAAAAGACTCAGTTGTCCTGGGTTTTATCTGGAAGGTGGTCCAGGAAACAGAGATGTTCCTCCCTCCCCCTCCAGTGCAGGTGGGCCCTGAGATTCTGTCTTCAGTTTTCTCTTTCTTTATCCCAGATCATATCATCGGCCTCAGATTCAGTTATTGCCTTTCTGTAGCTGAAGTTCAAATATGTGTCTCTCACACCGAAATCTCTCCTGAATGTCAGTCTCAAATGTCTATCTCTGCTGATACGTCTGTTTCCATTCTGAGGAGACCCCATTCCTTATGTTCAAAACCAAACTCACTATTTCCTTTACAAACCAATTCTTGCTTTTAAAAAAACAATTAAAAAAAATAGTGCTTCTGGTCACACCCAGGCTGGAAAGCCAGGCTTCCTTGCCTCCTTCCTTCTTCCCCTGCGGCGGGTCCAGTCCTCAGTCCTGTCTGCGTTATGATGTCTGCCCCTCCACGTTACACTTTTCCCTTCCGGATGTCATTATTGTGGGTTGGGCTCCCCGGTCACTCTGGTCTTGTCTCGTCTACAGCACAGCACACAGCTTCCCCGCTCCTGCCATCCCTCTCCTCCAAAGCTTTCCCCAGATCTCCCCTGCTCGCCCCTGGCCAGCACTCACAGCCCTGCCTCAACTATCCTGCAGCTCCGTCTTCAATCACCTACACGTTCCTGTTTTCTGCCAACCACGTACGATCTCATCCCGCAGCTTGTCTGTTCAAACTGCTCCCTTTGGTTAGACTTTCATCTTCACCCTCTCTCCCTGGCTAAATCCTAGTGATATTTCAAGAGTCAGCTCAAATGATGCCTCTTCACTCCCTTGACAAGTCTTCGTAGAACACTCGACTGACTTGATTCTCTTTCTAGAGTTCTGTTCTTTTCTATCTTATTACCCCACCAACCCAGATATATGTGGGTGTGTGTGTACAGTTACATCCATTATCTCTTACCCAAGAATCTCTGCTTTGAAGCCAAGGACCATATTTTCTTCATCTTTATATCAACCCATATTACATACCTGGACAGTCATTTTCAGCCAGTGTGCTGGGAGACACTGGTGTATTGAGAGGATCTTAGGTGTGCTGCAAAAGTTTTTTAAAGATCATCTATTAAATTATTTTTGAAAGAATTTCAAAACACAGTAAGTATATTCTTTTTTTCACTCTTTTTTTGATCAACATAATTTAAGTGTGCCATGGATGTTTAATTATAGATTCAAGTGTGCCACAAGGTTGAATTTTGTTTCAATTACTATTGAGTTATTAAGCCATTAATCAAAACAATACTCTACAAATTGAAATAATGTGCTTTATCTTGACAATCTGGTAATAAACAGCTAATTTAAATAAAAGAAATTACCTACAATAATCCAAAATTAATAAAATCTTGATTTTGGAGTTTTAGCATTCTACTTATGGGTCACACTTAGGAGTGATTTAGTGAAGAGTTTTGATTTTACTTGCAATGGTGGTAAGGATGGCATGAAATCTCACCACCCCGCCGAAGCCGGCTGGTTTGCTATGTCCTGCAGGGTAGTAGCCTTTAAAGTTGGAGCTTCATGAAAGGACAGGGTTGAAAACATGGACTTTGGAGTAGGACAGACTGGGTTTGGAACTCGGACTCTGTGCCGGCTGGAAGTTAGTGTCTCTAAACCTTACTTTCCCCATTTGCATATGGAGGAAATAATCCATCTGAGCTGTGGCTGTCACAGGTGCTAGCAAACCATCCTTTCCTTGGGGTCCCCAAACCTGGGTAGGTTTCCTCTAGGTTCTGTGGACCTACGAATGCAAACTACATTGAGAGGAAGGCAGATTGGAAAGCACAAAATACATGCAGGCACTGACGGTTGGTATCTGTCTTTCTGGCCTGGTGAAGAGGCCTCTTCATTTTGAATCAGGCAGATAACAAACACTTCAGAAAATTCTTTTTTGATTAGGATAAAAATGTTTTGCCATCTTTTTTTGCCTCTTTTCCTGCATTCATATTTCCTAAAGGCTAAACTGCTGGGTGTCCTAAAAATCCAGCTCAGTCAGGATGTAAGATTAGTCCCACAGCTCCCAGACCATAAAGGGAGGAGGCAGTTACCCAGTGCCCAGTGCTTACCCTGTGGTAGGAACGTCTCACGCAGAACTGCAACTTTTTTTCTTAATAACTAGAGTACCGTCTCTGTCGTATAAGGAAGTAGAAGCTGAGTCACCTTCTGAGATTTCACAGCTAGTAAACGCAGAGCGAGGAAGTGAACCGAGGTTCACTTTGAGTGGGTAAGGCCTTTGATGGGATCAGACCAAATGAGCATGTGAGGCGCGGATTTCCATTAGTTCCTATGCCAGGGAAGCTGTGAACCAACAGGATTAAACTTTTTTCACCTTAGGACTCCAGGAAATAGCTTTCAGAAATACTGTTTGGGGACACTCGGGCCTTGCTTTGGAAGTTTGTGTCACACTGATGGTGATAGTGTATTTCAAGAACCCAGAGAGGCTGGTGTTTGCAAATATCCCTGTAAACATCAGCTCTGAGATGGTTAACTTGAGGTTTCTGGTGTAGTGAGATTAGTCCCAAGTATACAATGGTGTGAGTATAGTAAGAGTGTGGGCGTTTTCTCACATTCTAAGACTTCAGCTGTTGGCTTGTTAGGAAACTAGATGCCAGAGGAAAAGGGCCCCGAGATAGGCAGTGTTTGTTCTTGCTTTGTGTGGCCACTATATTCCCAGGAAGTTCTGTGTCCTTCACTAAGGGAACAACAGTCATTCAGCCACCAGCAGAGCACCGGGGCACTGTACTGAAGAGGCCACAGTCACTCCATTTTATAATAGGCTCCATTCTGAACCTCAGGCCCTTCCGGGAAAAACCGCAAGCAGCACCACCCAGGGAGGGGATGGCCAACCCAGGTGGGGGCCTATCAGGAACGAACACACAGCCCTTCCCTGGAAAGGCCCTAACTGCAAGATGGTCCCAGCCAATCAGAATGTGTAAAATGTTATAAGGTGAGCCATTCAACCAATCATGTATTAAGCTATTACATTGTGTGGAAATCCCCCAAACGCGCTATAAAAGCCATCCCCAGCCCCGCTTCAGGGTCGCCTCTGCGCAGCTACTATGTCCAGTGGAATGACCCGAGCATAAAGTTGAATGAGGACGCTCCTTTATTTTTACATTTGTGTACGGTGGTCTCTCAGCTGCGATTTCAGTCCCAACAGTACATTACATCCAGGCAGCGGAATACGGCACATTGATCAGTGGAAGGAAGGGGGTGGCGATATGTGCTGAAATGAAACTATCCACAACATGTGTAACAGAAAAGCCAAGGTGAAATGTAGTTTTTATATAAGTGTAGGATATTTCTAGAAACTACTAGATAAAGCTAGAAAACTACTGCAGTACCTGATAACTAGTTGCGTCTGAATGGGAGGATGATATCCTGAAAACCAGTGGTTCCACATGTTATCTGGGATCCCTGGGAGTCCTTGAAACCCTTTCAGGGGGCCCCCAGGTCAAAATTATTTTCTAAGCTATTACTAAGCTATTTACGCTGTTTTACCTGTCCTTCTCCTATGAGCGGGTGGTGGAGTTTTCCAGAAGATAAATGACTTGTTATGTTGCAACAAATTAAATCCAGAAGCAGCTATGATAATCCAACTGTGCTCATTGAAGCCAAATATTTAAGAAATTAGAAAAAAGGTAAAACAATATCACTCTTCTCACTAAATGTCCTAAAGTTATTTTTTAATAAAAGTTATTATTTACGTTAACATAATTTCTATGTAATAGATTAAAAATTCTCAGTTTTAAATTCTAGCTCAGTAAATCTCAGTCGGTATAAACAGAATCCCTTCCAGGTCCTCTGGCGTGCCTAAAACCCCTTCAGTGCCCGGTGGGCTTAGAAGGCCTCTGTTGTGGACAGTGGGTGGATCAGAGTGCCCAGGAGGAAAGAAATGTGACTGAGGCCACAGTTTATAATAAAATATTGCTTTCCCTTTCCTCCCTCCTCTTCATTAAGGGAGATCTGCCAGTGGTCTGGGGTTCGATGCTCTAGAACATTCCAAAGCTCGTGGCTTGAATTATTTTAAAGAAGGAAGTGACTGAAGAGAAGCAGAGGCAGGCTGTTTCTGAGGACCCTGCTCCACAGAGAATGTCCTGCTCCCGTTGATGTAAGTAGTGCCACTTGTGGAAGCCCTGTCACTTCCTGAGCTTGGGGGTGGCCGCAGAGGGGTGTTCACACACATCCTGGCTGGTGTCACAAGGCATGTTGACCACTTGGATTTCTACACCTAGCGCTGGTGTCAAAGGAGGAGGCAGTGGATTTGATCATTTCGGGAAGCTGAGGTTGAATGTCAGTTAACTCATTCTGCTCCCACTGATCCTGTTGTGACCACCCCAGGGCAATCTTGGGGTGCCTTGGCTCTGGGTAACCCAGGGTATGTGGCATTGTTCTGGGACTTGCCTGTCCCTACAAGGCTCACAGACATGTCTGGGGTTCCTGGATAAAATGTTTCTTTTATAAATTGCTTCCTTCTAGCAATAATTTGAGATGGCATAGAATAACACAGTACTTAATAGGACCACTAACACCAAGGATAATAGGAAGAGTCCTATAACAAAGTCCTGGGGAAGTTAAAAGCACAAGCAAACCTAGCCCCAGACTGGTTATTATAGACTAGTGAGATACTGAGTGGGGACTCAAGGCAAAAAGAGAAGCATGAAAATTCTAGAACCTTTATCAGGAAACTGGAAAGCAGTCACTTGTCAAGGTGGTGTGCTGCAGGTGCATGTTGACCTGAAGGGAACTTCTGGTGCATTCTCTTGGTGGGCTTAATTCCCAGTGACAGATCAGGAATTATGGCAATTTTATGCATCTGAGACCTTCCTAGCTTGGAGAGGCATGAAGGTAGAAAACACATCTCCTTAATGTTTGTGTTGCCAACATTGGACACCCAGAAGACGCTCAGTGAGACCCTGCTGACTGCACTTAGGCTTTATCCCTCACAGCTCCTGGAATACTTGGTGAATGAATGCATTACTGAGTAAATAATGTGGACCTATGAGTTCTTGGGAGCAATGAGTGATTATCAGGATAAGGGCAGGGGGTAAAGTAGCATTTTCTCACCTTCCCACTGTCATGATGCTCCTTGGGTTATATACTCTTTTCTGTATATTATCTCAGGAGCCCCTCCTTACTCCTTAGTCCCCTGTGGTAATAGTTCATAGTTTAATCCCTTGGGTCTCCTTCCCACTGATCACCTTGAAACTTGTCCTCCCCTCCCCTTCCCTCTCCACCCTCCCTCCCTCCCTGCCTCCTGTTTTATGATCTGACTCTTGGTACTAGAGAGCTAAGAGGTCTTAACTTGAGCCTTCATGGCACGCATTTTAGAATGAATAATTTACAGCTACCTCTAACCACTCACCAGAAATTATTGCAGGTGTCTCGATTACATTAGATTTCCCAAACATTACTTATCTATGAATCATTCTGCCTCACCTTCCAGAGACTATCACGGTGGTCTTTTTTTCCCCTGCCACACAATCTTAAATAACTATTTCCAAAAATCATCATTTCAGTATCCAAGGCATGTGCTGTATGTCTCCTTGTCCTGTGAAGTCTGGTTGGGGTGTCCCCCTGCACCCTGCTGTCACAGCACACTGTTATACCAGCAACTTTCTCAAGTACTTTGGATTCTATAAGAAAGAGCCCTCTGGTCAGTACTCTAAGTCCACTCTGTGTCTGGGAATAATTGGACTGTGTATTTCAGTCTGCTTAGAGACTTAGTAAGTTCCAGTGTCTTGTGTTTCTTATTAATGGGAAGACCAAATAATGTAGCATCCAATCAGGTGCACTGGTGAGGAACTGGGGAAGTTATTCATAGGTAATCTGGACCGTGAGGCTGACGTGTGGTCTCATTTTCAAACATTTTGCATCTTCAGTGGATGCTGAGAGCAGAAGGGTAATCACAGCCTTTGGAAGTTGACCTCCCCCACCTCCATTCTGTTTAGTTATTTATTTGGGGGGGGGGCTTGGGAACTCTGGCCAGTAGAATTGGGTATTTTAATAAGCTGGTCACCTTTTGGATGTTAGAGATCCCAGAGGGAGGGAGTCATGGATGCCACAGCCCCAGTGGCTGGTGTTTCCAAGTCCCAGCCGTACAGTCTCTCTCCCCCCACCCCAGTCTTCCTCTGCCCTCTCCTCCCCCTTCCCCTTCTCCTTCTCTGTCTCCCTCCCTCTCCCACCTCCCCACTCTGCTCCCTTCTCCTCTTAATCCTCATTTTCTCCATCCCACCTCCTTGCCCCTCCTTTCTCCCATTCTTTCTCTTTTTGTCTGCCCCTTTCCTGCATGTTTTTATCTCTATTTGTCACTCCCACTCTCTTCCTTTCCTTCCCTCTCTTATGATGGATGACTCCTCCAGGATTGTTGGAGAACCATCTCTGCCAGCATTATTTTTGCCTTTAGAGAGGAAAGCCTGGGTTTCCAATTGAGATTTGATTTTTTTCCATTAGATAAAAGCTGTCTTTCTCCCATAGCAAGTGGCCCAGGGTCGTCTGTTTCCCCTGAGTTTCTGTCAGAGGTTCCAGTTTCATGTGTCCTGCCAGGCGTGCTTTCCAGGGCATGGGTGTAGGGGTGGCAGTGAGGATGGCAGAGGTTGGGGCTGCAACAGAAATAAACTAGGGAGACGTCTGCCCGTCACTGGATGGATTGCAGCTGAGGGGAATGAGACTTGGTGATCCTGTTCCTGTGTAGACCTCAACATCTAAGATCTGGGAATTTGGCTATGCCAGGATTATTTTAGAAAGGGTAAAGTCAGGATCAATAACCAGAGAGCACACAGCTTTTATGGGTGTACCACCATCAGAGAGAGTAAAGAGGAAAGAGCCTTTCAAAATGAAATGGAGGGAAGGAGCTGACTTTCTGGGTGAACAGGACTCTGGAAACATTCTGATAAGCATAAGCTGAGAGTAGACTTCAGTACTGTGAAAGAACTGTGTGGTCAAGAGAACAACAAGCTCCTTAATGGGATTCAGGGATGACATTTTTACTTATTAAATAATAACAAAGTTTACTGAGCAGCTGTGATGCATGAGCGATTCTGGAAGTGATTTGAAAGGGTATAAGTATAAATAAGAGATAATCCCAGCCTAAGTTACTCACGGGCTAATAGGAGAGGAAAGAAACGAACAATGGAACTACACTCAAAGGAGGTAAGCAGGAGTCAAGAGAGCGACCCGGAATCTGGGAAAGTGGGAACATTTGTAGGTGGGGTGCTCAAGGGACAAAGACCTTGCATGTGGAGGGTGTGGAGGTTGGGCCACACCTTACAGGCTAGGAGGGAATCCAGTATATACACGGACAGGTGTTAAGTCAGTCATTGCTGGAGCAGACCTAAGCTACAAGGGCCCAGAGGGACCTGGGGAACACAGGCTGTGCTGGGCATGTGGGATTGAGGGGAGAGGCGGTGGCAATCTACTTGGAGCAGGGGGTTTGGTTGAGGAGAGGTGGGAAGTAAGGCTGGGAGGGAGGGGAGCTGCCAGACTGGGGAGGCAGGGCCGAGACATCTGGATGCCATGTTAGGGACTCAGCATCTGCCTGGCATGTGCCCTGGAGGGGAGGATGCTTCACGTCTGCTGATGCTCCTTCCTGAAGTTCCTCTTCCTGAGCGTGGGTGCAGTTCTGAATCAGATTTAAGGCATCAACAATAAACCATTTGGGGGCCCAAAGTAGAGATATGCATGAGACACTTTGAGCCAGTGTTTTCTAAGCTCTCAATCTCTTGGTTTTGCTTTCTCTTAATAGTTTATTACATTAAGAGGTCAACCACAAACTATTACTCTCAGAGCACATCTTGGGCTGTTAGCGAGAACCTTATTTTCATTGTTTCAATTCTCGTTTCTTTATAACTTTTCATATTACGGGAGATACTTTAGCCCCAACTTGGGGGCTGCAGGAATAACAATGTTAGGGATTCCTGGCTGGCAGTGCTCACTGAATGGCCTACGGAACCTGAATTTGCTGAAAGTTCTTGCTTCTTGGGGCACAGACCTCCTGCTTCATCCTTTATGATGGATGAAAAGGATTTGGGGTTTCCTTTCTGGACACTCATGGAATTTTTCAAGATTTCTCACTTATATCTAATTGTCTTATATGAGATATTGATACACTTTTTATATGATTCATACTTTATATGTAAGAGTTTTTCTTCCCCATCAAAAATCATGATTCCCTCTTGGTGAAGGTCTGAGTGTCTTGTCAGGTATTTTTTGTTTTTGTACCACATTTAGCATAGTATTCAATGCACATTCTTTTGTTTGTGGTAGAAGAATCGGGTAGGTGGTGGGGGTACCACTGCTCCCGTGTTCTCCAGCATTGTCTTTTGCAGAGAATAGTCTAAAATGAATCCTTGCTGTTTGCAGTATCACCTACCGACAGCATCAGTACCACCTAAGCGCTTGTTAAAAGTGCAGGATCTCAGGCCTCAGGCTAAATCAGAATCTGGAATTTGATCAGTGCTGAGACTTACTGGTCTCCAGAGGTAACATATGCAAACAACTGGAGGCTCGGGTTAAATGTAGATTCTCACCTTACTCAACGTTGCTCAGGTAATGAAGGAACAACCAGGCCTCAGGGTTTTCTTGTGTCAAAGCAGCAGCTTCCTTTTTAAGACTGTCACCGGACACATTCCCTCCTCAGAGTGACACTCTTGCACAGAGCAAATGGTTTGTGATGGGAATTGGCTTAATATGACACGGGGGCAAAATCCAGTCTGCCACCTGCTTTTGTAAATAAAGTCTTATGGGATCAGAGCCCCACGCATTTATGCTCATATTGCCTATAACTGCTTTTGTCCTGTATTAGCTGACATGATTAGTTGTGACAGAGAATGTATAGCCTGAAAAGACTCAAATATCTGGGCTTTTACAGGAAAAAAGTTTGCTCATCCCAATTTATGAGATGGACTCTAAATATTTCCTTAAATGGGAATAGCTATAATATTTTCCCCAGTGGCAAAATTTGAAGCCCATCTTAATCTATCTCTATTCATGGAGAAGCTAAATCATAAATCATAATTCCCAAGTGGCCAGAAAGGGTCTTAAGACCAAAATTGACACAGAGCCTGTGATTTTCCAAAGCCCATTTAATACCTCCTTCCTCAAGGAATGATG